TTGTTTTTAGAGACAAGGTCTCTTGCTGGACTGGCTACCCAGCAAGCCCAAGAGACCTCCTTCCTGTCTCCACCTCCCCGCACTGGGATCACAGGTAGGCACCACTGTGCCTGGCTTTTCTGGGGTGCTGGGACTCTGACTCAAAGAGCTCCTTGTTTTCATGGCAGGCATTTACAGATGGAGCTATCTCCCCTGCCCTACTTTATTTGTTTTTACAGAAACTCTGGGGCTGAAGTCATCGAAGTCACATGGGCCTGTGGCATCACTGCACCAAACTCCTCAGATGATGTTAGGCCTGTGGCGGCTAGGTGGAAGTCCTGCTATACACCGCTGTGTGTGGAGAACCCCCTGGACACAGTGAGGGGCTAGGTGGGAAAGGGAGCAGGCAGTGGCTCCTTACCCGCCAGCTGTGCTCACAGGGGGCTGAGTGCCACTTACCGCCACCACAGGCCTGGATGAAGAACAACTTTGGTTTCCCGCCCAGGCTGGGGCAGCCAGTCCCATTGAAGATGTTCACAATTTTCTCTATGGACACGGAGCATCCATCTGTGCCATAGACGGCACCCGGGAACTGCAGGTGGCTGGCCTGGAGGACAAGGCACTTTGGTTATAAAAACAAGACTCTGGGTAGAAATCCAGAGGTCTGTCCCAAGGCTTTGTGTGGGGAGGTCAATATTCAGAAGGCCCTAGGCAGGGACACCCATTGACAGAGACAGAGCGGGCTGTTCAGCATCAAGTCCAAGGGGCCTGACTTGTTTAACTATGGGAGCCAAGGAGCCTGAGAGTGCAGGCCAGCTGTGTCCAGACCAAGTGTTCCCACACCACCAGTGTCAGCATCACCCAAAGATTGCGTAAAATGCTGGTTTCCATGCCTCACCTAGACCTCTGCCAGACTTCTAGTCCTCCAGCCCCTCTGAAGCAGCTAAACACAGAGCAGCATTTATTTTGTTGTTGTTATTGTGTGTGTGCACATGGGTGCCCACATGCACGTGGGGGTCAGAAAACAACTTGCAGGAGTCGGCTCTCTCCTTACACCATATGGGTTCCGGGTTGCCAGGTTTGGCAGCAAGCACTTCTATCTGCTGGGCCATCTCGATGGCCCCCAGTCCCTCAACTTAAAAGATGAAGGATCTGAGACCTGGGCAGGGGTAGGGACTTAGCCACTAATGCACCAAGCAGCTGACGGATCCCAACATCCTGTGTTCCACCCAACAGTAAAGGGCCTGGAATATACAACATGGAGCATAGAGGAAGTGCAGGATGCAGCGGAGGTGCAGGATGCAGCGGAGGTGCAGGATGCAGCGGAGGTGCAGGATGCAGCAGAGGTGAAAGATGCAGCGGAGGTGGTGGATGCAGCGGAGGCGAAAGATGCAGTGGAAGTGAAGGATGCAGCGGAAGTGAAAGATGCAGCAGAGGCAAAGGATGCAGTGGAGGCGAAGGATGCAGTGGAAGTGAAGGATGCAGTGGAAGTGAAGGATGCAGCGGAAGTGAAGGATGCAGTGGAGGCAAAGGATGCAGTGGAGGCGAAGGATGCAGTGGAAGTGAAGGATGCAGCAGAGGTGAAGGATGCAGCGGAGGCGAAGGATGCAGTGGAGGCCAAGGATGCAGTGGAAGTGAAGGATGCAGTAGAAATACAGGATGCAGCGGAGGTGAAGGATGCAGTGGAGGTACAGGATGCAGCGGAAGTGAAGGATGCAGTGGAGGTGAAGGATGCAGTGGAAATACAGGATGCAGTGGAGTGTGAAGGATGTAATGGAAGTGAAGGATGCAGTGGAAATACAGGATGCAGTGGAAGTGAAGGATGCAGTGGAAATACAGGATGCAGTGGAGGTGAAGGATGCAGATGAAGTGAAGGATGCAGTGGAAGTGAAGGATGCAGTGGAGATGAAGGATGCAGTGGAGGTGAAGGATGCAGCGGAAGTGAAGGATACAGTGGAAATACAGGATGCAGCGGAAGGATTGCTGCATTTGGTTTCTGAACTGGAGAAGACAGCTTTGTGCACAGGTCTTTCTCAATTCTTCCTTCCCGTACTGGACAGGGCTTCCCCTGTCCCACCCACGAAGGCAACTCCTCAGAGGAAGACAGTGGAGGAAGACGGCGGAGAAAGACAGGGCCTCACTTCCTTCTCTCCAAAGCTAAGGGTGCCGTGGACACAGACGGGACATTGCTACTGCAGGGCCTGTCAAGGCGCAAGAGGGGAGGCTTCCTACCTGGCAGCCATGAGAGAGGATGACCACCACAAAGCAGTCCAGGGCATGGTGGTCCCGCTGTGCCATCTCCACCAAGGCCGCGACCATTTTCTACAAGGAAAGGCAGCAGGTAAGACAGAGGCACCAATGGAGACCTGGCCTGCAGGGTCCAGCCAGAGGCCATGACATGACACAGCATGCTGCTCCCAACACTGAAGTCGTGATGGGCACAGTCAACATACTGGCGCCATTTGGAGGAAAAGACGCTATGCGTGGTCACCGGCCATTTAATCTACGTGACAGTTCTACAACAATGATTACTCTTGCTTCTAAACAGGGAAACTGAGGCATAAGAGGTTGGGGGTAGGCACTGAGAAAGCCAATCAATCCTCAGACTCTCTTTCTCTAAGTCTGATGCTTGAACCATAGCCAGCTGCCCATGCCACTTCCCACAGTCCTATGGACATGGAGGCTTGCCTGGGGCGTGTCCCTCGTGGGACAGTGACTGACCTTGGCAGTCAGGTCGTTCTTCACCTCCACCATGAAATGCAGCCAGCGGAAGCGGTGCTGAAGCCTCTCACAGTCCACACTGGAGCCGGTGCGTGTGCTGAGCCCCGAGGAAGGGCAGAAGTTCACATTGTTGATGATGAGGCAGTGGCCACAGGGGTCCGCATCCATGGTGTATGCCTGCACAATGACAGATGTCCAGTGTCACCAGGAGGGCTCAGTGCACTCCTCAGGAGAGGCAGTTAAGAGCACTGGCTGCTGTTGTCGAGGACTTGGGTTCAATTCCCAGAGCTACATGGTAGCTCACAGCTGTCTGTAACTCCAGTTCCAGGGGATATGACACCCTCTTCTGGCTTCTGTGTGCACTGCAGACATGTGATGCACAGACATGCATGTAGGCAGAACACCCATAAACATAAAATAATTCCTTAAAAATACCAAAACAAAAAAAACCAACCAACCCAGACACATTCACCCCAAAGGGACTTTAAACACCATGCAACTTAGTGGCACTGGCCCAGGGCTCACCTGAGGGGTACATGAAAGGTTCTGTCCCGGCAGTCTCAGGCCAGGGCCACACTCTGATCTCCTGACACAGCTTTCACCCCAGGCTCAGACCCAGGAACTTCCTCTTCCACGGCCTGTCCATGGGTCTGATCACTCTAAGTGAATATTCCTCTGCCTGACTTTTCCCTCCCCAGCACAGGGCTCTGCAGGTTAGGTGGTCCTTGTCCCCAACAAGGAGAACTCCAGCAGCACATGGGAGCCAGAGGGTATATACATGGGAAAGACAGCCTGAGAGGCTTGCCCTGGAGTGGACATCCTCGGGGATACAGCTCTTCTTTAGGTTTCAAATCTGACTTTACGGGGGCAGAGGGGCGGATGGGCTGGGACAGAGCGCTCCAGCTGGGGTCAGAAGCCATGGAGAGTGGTGACTGGAACCAAAGTTCCCCAGCCAGGCAGGGTTCCTCAGCTCCTAGCTCACCGGAAGGGAAGGGCTTGGGGAAAAGGCCAACTTTAATTATACGAGGACTCACCATAGCTGTATGACCCTTGATCTGCTCTGGAGCACCTGCAGAACAAGAGAGAAGAAGACGTGGGTGCTGGGGTTCAGCTGGGAAAGGCCACGGAGCCGTGAAGACAGTCCCCACAGCAGGACTTCGGAGAGGAGAGTCAAGTGACTGAGCCACCATGGGGAAGTGACTAAAAGTTGCCAACATTAAACACACACTTCCACCCCTGAAAAGAGCTGGCCAAGAGCGTTCACTAGGGTCTTACTCAAAAACCTCGAAGTGTGATTCGGCCACTCAGGGGGACATCCTAAAGAGAAGCCAGCTAGTGATCCACACAATGCCCTGGGTAACCCAGAGAGCACAAGGCTATATTAGTAACAAACAAGCCAGCCACTGAAATACAGACCAAATGACTCCATCTCTATGAACTCCATAGCAGAAAGGAGGAAGGGAGGTAGAGGTGAGGGACAGAGAGACAGTTCTGTGCATAAGAGCAATGGCTGCTCCTGTGGAGGATCCAGGTTCGGGTCCCAGCAAACACACAGCAGTTCCCATTCCCCCTTAACTCCATTTCTAAGGGATCTGGCACCCTAGTATGGCCTCTGTGGGCACCAGGCATGCATGCAGTACACATACACGCAGGGAAAACACTCATAGATATAAATAAAAATAACAAATAAACCTGTACAAGTTTCTGCCCTGACTAGTCTGTAACTTCAGGGAATCTGACGCCCTCTTCTGGACTGCACTCATGTGGACATACCCACACATAAATACACATAATTTTTACAATAGAATACAAATATAATCTTAAAGAAAGAATAACCCATGTGTCTATCAACAAAAGTGTGTGAAGTGCTTGTCATACACAATGAAGACCTGAGTTCCATCCCCAGAGACCATATGAAAAACCCAGGCACAGTGGCACGTAACTCCAGCACTGTAAAGGCAAAGACATGCAAGCAGATCCCTGGGGCTCACTGGCTAGCCTAGACTCTTCTATGTATCAGTTCCAGGCCAGTGAGAGACCCTGCCTCCAAAATCAAAGTGGGGAGGGGACCAGAGAGAAGGCTCAGTGGTTAAGAGTACTTACTGCAGCTGGGCAGTGGTGGTGCACACCTTTAATCCCAGCACTCAGGAGGCAGAGGCAGGTGGATCTCTGTGGGTATGAGGCCAGCCTAGTCTACAGAGTGAGTTCTAGGAAAGCCAGGGCTACACAGAGAAACCCTGTTTCAAAAAACAACCACCACAAGAAAACAAAAACAAAAGTACTCACTACTCCTACAGGGGCCCTGGATCTAGTTCTCAGTACCTATATAGTAGTTTACAACCACCTGTAACTAGTTCAGGATACCCGCCATGGTCTTCTGACTTCTGTGGGTTTCTGCACTCATGTAGTACACACAAAACACTCAGGGACACACACGCATTCACATAAAACAAATATTTTTAAAATAAAAGTGAAGTAGGATGTCTTCTGAAGAGTGATACCCAAAGTTGTCCTCTGACCTACTGACACATGCGC